GACCTTGACCTCTCTAAGTGGCTTTAAGAATCTGTTGGACTCCTGGCAGGGACCAATGCAGACATGTTCCTGTTTTTAGTTTTCTACATTCGCCTTAGAATCTAGCTGTTTTTTGTCATTTTTAGCCATCCTATTTGTTACAAAAAAAAACTGGAGTATGACTTTTTATAACTGTTTATTGTTGTCACTGTTGTCCATTGTTGTCATCATTCTTTGTTGAAACCAGGTCTCTCTTGTAAATGAGTCCTCGAGGCTCAATGGGATTTACCTGTCTAAATAAAGGTTGAATGAAAAAAACTCTGTGACGTCTGAGATACACTGGTTGAACTCAGCGTGGAAGTTTGTCTGACCAGTGACCTATCTGTCACTTTGACTGGAAGTTACATCCAGAGTGACCAGTGCTGGAAAAGCTGGGAAGCATTTGTTGGTTTGTTGTTGGGGAAACAGCTGAGTTTGACTTTGAACAGGATGTAACTCTACTTTCAACTCACAAGACGTGACACGATACTCAGTTCAAAGATCAAAACAATCCTGGAGTCTCAGAAACACACTTGTTTCTCAGGAGTTTTTAAGACCAAAGGACACTTCTTCAGTTTTAGATGACCTTCTAAAGCTGTGTGACCTTTGACCTTTTGGGGGTGGGGGGGTCAAACTCATTTTCACATGGAGCCAAAAACAAAACCTTTTTCTAGATCAACAGCCTTCCAGGGTCAATATGAATAGAAAAAGTAATAGATAAATACATTTTCCATGTTTTCCTGATGTTTCTTCTTGAAAGATCTTCATGCAGAAATATAATCTATCCATCCAGTTTCTTTACCTGCTTCTCCTTTCTGGCTTACTGGGATCTGCAGCCTTTCTCCAGCAGTCACAGTGTGAAAGACAGGGGACACACTAGACAAGTCTCCAGTCCATCACAAGGACACATGGAGACAAATGAGACAAACATTCACTCTCTCTCACACACCTAGGGACAATTTAGAGTCACAAGTGAAGCAAACCTGCATGTTGTTGTTATGTGGGAGGAAACAGAGTAAACCCAAATCTAAAACAGATTTTTGATGGATGCGGAATCTATTTTTAATGTTTTACTCTGCATGACATGTTACCTTACAGTCTGTAATATACATATTATTAATTTAGGAACATCTCAATGTGTCTGTTCTTACAGAGCTTTGTTGGAGGCTTTGAGAACTGGCAGCAGCCTCAGAAGATGCTCCTTTTTAGCAGAATATTTATTCAGGTCAAACACATCCAGATCTTTTCCTGATGTCAGTAAGATGAAGACCAGAGCTGACCACTGAGCAGGAGACAGTTTATCTGTGGAGAGACTTCCTGAACTCAGAGACTGTTGGATCTCCTCCACTAGAGAACCATCATTCAGTTCATTCAGACAGTGGAACAGATTGATGCTTTTCTCTGCAGACAGATTCTCACTGATCAGATTCTTGATGTACTGGACTGTTTCCTGATTGGTCTGTGAGCTACTTCCTGTCTGTGTCAGCAGGCCTCGTAGGAGAGTCTGATTGGTCTGCAGTGAAAGTCCCAGGAGGAACCGGAGGAACAAGTCCAGGTGTCCATTTGGACTCTGTAAGGCCTTGTTCACAGCACAAAAGTGGAGATATTTTAGTTTTGGTTTCTTCAAACCTAAAGACCTCTTGGATTTTGTTTGATGTTCTTCCATCAGATTGAGTCCAGAGTTGATGAAGGTCAGATGGACATAAAGAGCAGCCAGAAACTCCTGAACACTCAGATGGACGAAGCAGAACACCTTGTCCTGGTACAGGCCTCTCTCCTCTTTAAAGATCTGTGTGAACACTCCTGAGTACACTGAGGCTGCTCTGATATCGATGCCACACTCTGTCAGGTCTGATTCATAGAAGATCAGGTTTCCTTTCTGCAGCTGCTCAAAAGCCACTTTTCCCAGAGATTTAATCATCTTCCTGCTCTCTGAACTCCAGAGTGGATCTGTCTCAGCTCCTCCATCATACTTGACCTTCTTGACTTTGGTGTGAACCAGCAGGAAGTGAATGTACATCTCAGTCAGGGTGTTGGGCAGCTCTCCTCCCTCTCTGCT